TCTCACTAAGAAAGTATCCGGAGAAACCAAGAGATAGAGAAGGAATTATCTCTCTGGGATTCTAAAGAGTTAGCTCATAGTTTTAATAAAAGCAGAAACGAAGGTATGATAGTTTAGGAAATGTGGAAGCTCTGTGTGTTTTCCAAATGTATATAAAGCAAAGATGAGATGGAAAAATAGCTACTGAGGTAGAAAAAAATGTATTTACTTTTTCCATACGTGTGAACAACAAAGATGAAACGACGAAATAACCTCTAAGGTAGAGAGACAGACAGACAGACAGACAGACAGACGGAAGACACAGATAGAAAACAACAGATAAACAGACATATGTATATTCATGTCTTTATTTATTGGCTTTATTTCACTTTTGCATTTTCAGTTTTACTATTTTTTCATTGTGTTTCCATGTATTTTTTATCGTTTGTGTTTTTCCATATCGTTTATTTTTATCCTATTATCTACACGCAAGGTATATATAAGTACATATATACTTACATAGACCTTGTTTACACGCACCGATTTTTAACCGTCAACAGGAAATAAACCGACCGTTTGCATCCTTTTCACACGGCTGAACACGGTAAAAAGTCGTTCTTGGTGGCTGTTTGCACTCCCATGATATTTATAGCGTGTCCCATCTCAAGGAATTACAAACTGGTCAGATTCATATTATTCATTATATATATTCAGATTCAATATATATATATATTCATATATATATTCTATATATATATTCAGATTCATATGTCTTTTTGTAATGAAATAATTCTCACTTATACTTTATTCTAATGATAATACTATTAATTTGATATAATAAGACGATGATAGTAATAGTAGTAGTGGTGGTGGTGGTGGTAGTAGTAGTAGTAGTAGTAGTAATGATGATGATAATGCTATTGATAGTAATAATAATGATAATAATAATGATAAAAACAGTAATGATGATAATGATGATTAATGATAATGATAATGATAATGATAATAACAATAGTAATAATGATAATAATAATGATGATAATAATAATAATAATGATAATAATAATAATAATAATCATGGGGGTAACAATAACAAGAGTAACAATAATAAAAATAATAATAGCAATAATAACAACAACAATAGTAATAATGATAATGATAATGAAAATAACAAGGATAATGACAATAATTACAGCTATGATAATATAATTATCATTGATGATAATAACAAAAATAACATTAATAATAATGACAATAATGATTGGCGCAATAACAATGTAATAATAATGATAAAGTGATTACTGCATAAGCCTTGATGAACACTTTATTGTATTTTCTTTTTAATTAATTACCTTCAAAATCCTTTTATTTTTCACAAAGAAGTCTCGCCAATACACAGCACAGCAGATTCTTCAAAACACCTTCTGACTATGCATGAAATATACTGTAGATAT